GCAGCCTGAGCTGTTAAATCACTCCCCACCTCCGGTGAAACCTCGCCCTACTCCACTCCCTGTTCCAGGCCCTCCTCACCGGCACCGGCAAGATCCAGGAGAGGCAGGTACTACCGGCTCCTCTCCCCTTCCCCACAGACGCACACGGCTCCCATTTGCCATAGGAAGGAGGAAGCACAAGGTACCGCTAGGTTCCCTGTACCCAAGCGGGGCCAAGCTGGAAGCCAGAGGGGTGGGAGGACGCTCACCTTGGCTGGGGCTGTTGAAATGGTTGTAATACTGAGACACGTAAGTCATGATGCTGAGGCAGTCGGGGACTTTCATGGAGACCATGTCATTGGGATCTAGCAGGGCTGGGATGCCCAGCTCCCGCTCTGCCAATTCAAAAGCCTGCAGAAAAAGCAGAGAGAGGCGGTAAGGAGAGAAAACTGATGCTCACTGAAAAATAACAGAGAAATCAAGTTGGAAGGGCCCTGGGGAAGGTTAAGTAGTAAGCCTATGACATCCCTGACAGACAGAGGCTCCCAGACGTGCCACTGGACTGGAAAGGTGGCACCAGAAGCAAGGGAAGACAGCTGCTAATGGCTGAAAGGGGTCTCGGAAAGCACATGGCCAAGACCCAGCTGGAGAGCCCTAACCCTGAAAACCCAAATGACGTAGCTCAGCTCACCTTGGGAAGGTGGTGGCCCATGTCTCTTCACAGACTACCTGATGGAGCCTGCAGCAATTAGGTCTTTCCCTCAGCAAAATAACAAAGCTATTGCTGCTCTGTCCTAACCCCAGCCCCTGGTGTTGGCCATCTTCCAGCTCTCCACTGCCTGCTTCTGCTGTTGGCTCCAGCTGTCCCAAGCAGCATGGGAACAATGCAAACCAGCCTAGGTCGACCACAACCGTCCTCTCTACTTACACACGGACTAAAACTAGCTTCCTGCTTCCATTGCCTGCCAGTCTGGAACAGCTGAGGTCAAGAAGATGTTGCACTGTTTTAATCTTCACCTGAGATGTTGTCTTGGCAACTATCAGGATAACCATTTTATCTTCAGTGCAGGCTGGAAGCTGATGTTTCAGATTCCCTTACATTTCCAGAGAAGCCCCTGCCTGTTACTCACAAACACGGATTTTTCTCCCCCCCTCTCCACTGCCACACTACACGACCTCGATCAAGTCATTCTCATGTCCCTTCTTCCTTTTGCGTACAGCATAATGGGGACTTACCAAGCGGTTATTCTCATAGACATCATCCTTGGAGAGAGAATCAAAGTCTCTGAAATGAGAAAGGACAGAAAAGCCACATGAGAAGTAGAGGAAGAGCACCTCAACACCACCACACACAGGTTCTCAGGACAGCCAACCTTCCTGGGGCTGTACAACTACAAAATCTGTAAGACTCTAGATAAACAAAACCTTGGTAAAGCAGATTTCAGGTTGTAAAGGGACAAACCAAATTAAAAAAGAAAGCAAGTCCCAAATGGGTGGTGACCAGGAAATTAAAACGTCATTCTTGCCTCTCGTTACCCGCTTGTTCCGCCCTCGCAGTTAAAGGCTGCAGAAATACCAGGGCCATGTTCGGATTAGTACCACGCACCTCTGCACCAAAGGGTGCCCCACACCACCCTGAACTTGCCCCTCCAAGGCCACCGGCACAACAGCGGGAGGAGAACGGGGAAGCAGATCCCCCATCTCAAGAGAAAGAGCTGCCTGTGCCAGACCTCTCCCTCCCGCGAGGGTCCCTGGACAAACCCACCACCACCACCTCAAGGGATTCCAGGTCACCCCGAGATCTGGGGTGACAGAGAAGGTCTTCAGCTGCACTTCTGTCCTGGCTTGCCCCCCCACCACTCGCAGCACACAGCAAACCATCCTCGGCCGTGGCGAGGCAGCTTGCTGAACGCAAGGCGCTCCGGGCACAGACAGGAACCCCGGCAGCTCCCAACCCAAGCACGCTGTGGCGTTTCACTTGTTCCCCTGGATCCCTTTGGGGATCGCATCAGCCCGGCCACAGGGATCAGAGGAGCAGAGGGTTAAAGCAGCCTGCAGGCTTTCAGCAGAGGGGCAGAAACACAGGAAGGAGTTAGCTACGCCTTTTGCACGTGTGCCTGGGTATAATGTGTGAAAACAGCATCGCGCTAAGCCGATTACAGCCCCTTCCGTCCAAGGATCTCAGCGGTGCTACCAAAAAACCCGCACGCAGCAGCTCGGCGTGCCTGTGAGCTGGATTCATGGAGGAGGCCACAGCCTAGCGAGGTTTAGGGTCAGAGAGAGGTGCCAAAGCTTGGGAGACCGACCCAGAAAGACAATTCAGGCTGAGGGGGAGAGTGCCCCAAAGGCGGTGTGCAGGAATCGGGCGAGACAGCAGGATCTCAGCGGTGCTACCAAAAAACCCGCACGCAGCAGCTCGGCGTGCCTGTGAGCTGGATTCATGGAGGAGGCCACAGCCTAGCGAGGTTTAGGGTCAGAGAGAGGTGCCAAAGCTTGGGAGACCGACCCAGAAAGACAATTCAGGCTGAGGGGGAGAGTGCCCCAAAGGCGGTGTGCAGGAATCGGGCGAGACAGCGGATCCTCAGCCTCCCTTCCTCCATTCCCGCTCGGATTTTATTGCCTTTTCCTGTAGCACCGAGTCGAGCCGCCCCGGCGCCGCACCGCGGGGCAACCAGCCCCGTCTCGAAGCCCCTCGCCACGCCTTTCCCAGCGCCGCCGAGGAAGCCCGCGAC